AGGACTTTTATCAAGAAGAATGGCTATCAACCATGTACAGAGAATTTCTAGAAGCAGTGGCCCATGTTTCATTCCTTTCTCCAGTAATGTGTAGAAAGAGCTGGGGAATGTCCCAAAAGGCAAGTCTGGAAGGATCTATACTCAGACACAGTAAGAGTCTGTTGGAGGCCACAGAAAAGGAGTGGCAGTAAGAAGCCACAGCCTTCTCCTCTCAAGGAGCTCAACCCCCTTCTCCTATGGGCAGATATGTGGAGGGGATTGTCCACCTCTTCTACCACGGGGATGATGTCGTGAGAGGGGACCCTGAGCTGCAGGCCTGGTGCCGGGAGATCACTGAGGTGGGGCTGTGCCGGGCCCAGGACCGAGGTAAGATCCCTCCCCACAGAAAGGAGCTTCTCCCACACTCTGCTAAGAGCCCCTTGTCAGCCTTGCTCTTCTAGGGATGTGACCCCAACCCTCATCACCCCCTCTCCCTCCACACATGAAGCATCTGGATCCCATTCCCACCTCCTAGGACTCAGGACAATTCTAGAAGCACAAGGATTATCCTCCTCAGAGGCCCTGGCCATCAACCTTTATGTCCATCCCCCTTGCCTAGTCACAGATGCCCCCTGCCACAGCATGGGGCTCATACCCATCGTCATGGTATCTGTTTTCCTTCCTGAGGATATGAATGGGAAGGTTTTTCCACCAAGTCCCACAATGACTCACTCAATTTTTCCTCCCTTCTTCCTGCTACTCTCCAGCACACACAGAGGGTCCAGACACACTTTGCCACAGTGCAAGGTCATTTTTAGGTGCAAGCTCAAGATTGTGCGTCCTTTGCCTCAAACTCACACTTGGTTCCCTGTCCCTTGGGCTCACATTCCTTCGGCCAATCTGTCCTTCCCCTACCCTTGCTAGGATCTAGCACTAGCTTAGGACCTCGCCACTAGCTTTAGTGCCCTCTGCCCACAATTAATCACTGGGAAGGAAACGGCCTTTCTTGAGCTCTTCTGGGTTCATCCTCCTCTCCCTCACACACACGGGCCAACCTGGACAGCTTCAAATCGTCCTTCAGTCCCTGCTCCTCCCACTTCACCCCAACACCTCTGCCTCTGTGAGACAACTACAGACATTTACGGAGGAGCCATTATGGCCACGCCCTGGGGAGCCAGTGAGCACCAGACCAACACCCACACCCTCCCAGGACCAAACTTTCTCTAGGACATCTCAATATTGTCCCTTAGGTTCCACATGCCCCCAGAAGTCGCTTCTTCTCTCTGGCCATCTTTTCCCCAACTAGTATCAACTACATTTGGAAAAATGAAACTTTCACATGTTCACTTTAACCTCTATTAACTGCCTCTCATTCTCTTTTCCCCACTTCTCATAGCTGACCTTTGCCTAATTTTCCCAATACACTTGTAGAGGAAATGTGATCAAATTAAAAACTGTCTGAGATTAGCAGCCAGGAACTGAGTTCAAGATCAGCCTCTGCTTTTTCCCAACTGTGTCCTGACAAGCAGTTTATTCTCTGGTCTTTGATTTTTGTTTTAAGTCTATTAAAAGGGAGTGGTTATATTTGTTCCACTTAACTGACAGAATTATTGGGTCTGAGTCCCCACCTCCACTGTAAAATGAGTGGCCTGAGATAATCTTTGTGGGAAGCCTGTCCTGGTGTGACACTAGAAATCCATGGCTTCTCTCTCTCTCTCTCATTTTCATGTATTGATTTTAGAGAGAGGAAGGGAGAGACAGAGGGAAAGAAAGAAAAGAAGAGAGAGATAAACATCAATATGTTGTTCCATTCCTTCAGGCATTCATTGGTTGATTCTTGTCTGTGCCCTAACTGGGGATGGAATGTGCAATGTTGGCACATTGGGATGATGCTCTAACCAACCCAGCTATCCAGCCAGGGCAATCCATGACTTCTCTCGCTCCTCATCTTATAACTCGGGCACTTGTAATTTCACGTCTGAGAATAAGAGGAAGCAGCCATAAATTTTTAACCACTTTTTAAGGCAGAGGATCACTCAATCTTTTCCATACCCTCCCATAATAACAATGACTATTTACTCTGATATGAAACTTATGTCTGATGTAAATGCATTTGAATAAATGAACCCATTAGTTCCAAAATACAGAAGCCCTCAGACACCAACCTTTATTTTTCTCTTCTCATGCTGCAGCCTCTAAATCCAGTTCCTTTTCTTCCCAGGTTTCCCTGTCTCCCTCCAGTCCCAAAATCAGCTCTGCCATTTCCTCACCATGTGTGTTTTCACGTGCACTGCCCAGCACGAGGCCATCAACAAGGGCCAGGTATGAACAGCTGAAAGTCCAGGTCCCTGAAAGCATGTGTCAGGACCTTGGAATCCCCAAGGAAGTGGTGGGGGTCAAACCCTAAGCACCAGGATCCTAGGGTTGTACTTTCTTCCCCCAGCTGGATTGGTATGCCTGGGTTCCTAATGCCCCGTGCACAATGAGAATGCCCCCACCCACCACCAAGGAAGATGTGACAATGGACACAGTGATGGGCTCACTACCTGATGTCCAAAAGGCCTGTCTTCAAATGGCCATCACATGGCTTCTGGCTCGACGCCAGCCAGACATGGTAAGAGAGGACTCTAGACAAAGAAGAATACCAATGGAAGGGAAACATGCAAGTCAGGGGTTAGGCTCTAGGTGCCTCTGTTCAAACGAGAAACTGACTGACTGATCCTCTGTTCTATCTTAGGTGCCTCTGGGGCATCACAAAGAAAAGTATTTCTCAGACCCCAAGGCCGAGGCTGTGCTAAAGCAATTCCAAGCAGATCTGGAAAACCTGGAAAGGGAAATTACAGCGCGGAATGAGCAACTTGACCTAACCTACGAATACTTAAAGCCCAGCCACATAGAGAACAGTGTCACTATCTGAGCTCTAAGGTGCCCCCCGCCCCCGAAAACTTCAGATCAGCTCCAGGATTGCCACTTCTGTTTTGAATTTCATGGTTTGCTACGTGTTTGCTGCTAAGGCTCTATTTTCTCTCCCAACTAAATCCTCTACATCAGTATCCTACTATCCCAGGAGGGCAGCAACCTTTTCTGTAAAAACCCATATAAAAATGTTAGGATTTACAAATCCTAACATTTCCTAATCCTAAAACATTACAAATCCTAAAAGTCCTGTCGGCCACACAGTCTCTGTCACAATTACTCAACTCTCCTGCTATAGCAAAAAGCAGCCACAGACAATGTGAAAATGAATGAGTGTGACTGTGTTCCAATAAAACTGTTCATGGACAGTGAAATATGAACTTCACGTGTCACCAAATACTTCTTCTTTTGGTTTAGTCGACCATTCAAAAATGCAACAAACAAATAAAAACCACTGTGCTTTTCTAAAGAAATGTGCACAAGCCTCAGGCTGAATTTGGTCCTCGGTGGCAGTACCCGAAGAAGGGTACCCTGCTCTAGTCTGTGGCACTGACCCAACTTGTAAACATCCAGAGGATGCTCTCAGGGGCAGATGGAGAAGATTCCTTGGAGAAATGAACTTCCTCAACTAATTCTCCTTTCCCAGGAGCTACACTTTGTGCTTGGTGGCCAACTTAAAAATTCCTGATTCTGTTCTTTGACAACTTTCCCTCCACCCCTATTCCTCCTATTCACACACCTATACCCTAAAAGTCCTGGAATAAGAATGGTGCTCCTAGAGCAGAATGCAAACTTTCGGCTTCCTTCCCCAAAGTCTCAAACAGAAGAGCCATGAAATTCATGTCTCAGGAACACTTTCCCAGCCCCTTTAGTCCACGGGAGTCTACACATGACCCCTGTTCCACATTCTCTTTCATTACCCTTTATAGAATAATATGCATGAAATAAATGGAAAAAGACCACGAAGCTATGCTAACCACCATTTCCCTGTCTAGTTTCAGGGTCTTGGGATCAAAATGAACCCTCTCAATCACGCTATGATACTTGTCTTCAATAGACTGGGCAGAAGATGCTGAGAGCAAAGCTGCATTCTTCCAACACCCGTTTCCCTAAATAATGATCACAAACCTGTCTCTTACCACAGAAGTACACAAACCTTTCCCTTGGAGTCGATGACCTATTCATATTTTTAAAATCTTTTACCTTATCTTATTCGAAGGACCTGTAACCCATTTCCATAGTTTACAATAGGGAAGCAAAGTGACATTTCGCATATTTCTTCCTCCAGTACATTTAGCAGACCACTCACATTCACAACTTAGAGTCCACTTTCCTTAGGCTTTTCCTAACGCCCATATTTTTCCTGGATTTGGCATCCAAAGGCAGTAGTATTCCATGTCTGGTAACGAAATGTTACTTTTAAGTACTTCCAATGCCAAGAATCCTTTGCAATTTTAAAACATTCTAGCCACAGCAGCACGCCTGACCTCAGGGAGGATCCCCTATTTCCTTTCAGTGTCAGAACATCTATTTTTAAACGTAGGGATAAGAGGAGATACAGGAGTTCTCTCTCGGCGTTAATTCTATATCTCACTTACCGCTAGCTCATCACAAAATACTACCTGAAACTACAGTATGTAAGGGG